GTTTGGAAAAAAAATCAAGAACAAAAATAAGACAACATGGTGCATTTAGTGCAGGACCCCCCCCACCCCTCCATACACACACACACTCCCCCCACACCCACACCCCTCCCAACACACATACATACCCCCAGAGCTGTTGGCAGGACTGTCCAGTCAGCTTGAATTCAGCATCAGCTTTGCAAACAGCGACAGACAAACTGATTGTCACGTATGGAACAGGAACAGCAGCAATTAACACTGACACACACCAACCGGCACTTTGGGTGGAAACACAAATCACCTCAACAACTCTCTGCTCGTGAATGGATTCTGCCAGCAGAACCTCGGAGTATAACAATCCTGGCATTTGACAGTGCCGTATCACGTCTTCCAGACGTCTCAAAGCGCTTCACAGATTACACTGTAAAGTGAACTGACTGCATAATTTGTGGACACACAGCTTGTGGAGGGAGGGACGGGAAGGCCGGCGAGGAGAGAGGTCCCATAGTCCAGCCTTGAGGTGATAAAGGTGTGGACCAGAGTTTCAGCCGCGTGAGGGGTGAGGTAGTGCCGTAGTCTCTGGCGATGTTGTGGCGCAGATATGAGGGAGAAAGGACAGCTCAGGGTCGAGGGGAACCCCGAGGTTCCTGATGGCTTTGAGAGGTGGAGAGTGCGGAGCTGATGGTGTCAGGGCCTGAGGTGCGGAGGCGCTGACGTGAGCCAATCAGGAAGGCCTCAGTTTTTCGCACGTTGAGCTGAAGAAAGTTGTCTCTCGTCCAGGACTCGATGTCGGACAGACAGCTGTCAGGACATCGGGGGTCGTGGAGTTGAGGGTAGAGGAGGAAAGGTAGAGTTGGGTGTCATCCGCATACATGTGGGAGTGAACCTCATGTCTGCGGATGATGTCACCACAGGGGGAGCATATAGAGGGTGAAGAGGAGGGGACCGAGGACAGAGCCCTGAGGGACACCGCACGAGTCAATGCACATTGTAAAAAAATCCTGTGAAGCGCTTTGAGACGTCTCAAAGATGTAATGAAGCACTGTATCAAATGCCAGGATTATTATTATTATTATCCTCTCCCCCTCCTTCCCTCCCCTGTCCCCTGGGCTCTCTGCCTGTATTCAGCTCACACACTTTAGCTAAAAATCAGCTGTTTTTGTCACCATAACAACCGACCACTAACAGGAGCAGAAACAGTGGATCTCATTTATACGGCACGGAGAGGGACGGGCACAAAGACTCACTCAGACCCCAGAAATCCCAGCAGAGGATCCCTGGGCACAGGGAGCAGAGAGCAGCTTCGCTTCGCTGTGACTGCGCAGATCCTGACAACTAACTAGAATTCACTCCCCCATTAGGTGGCAGTTTGGCTCAGTCAGTTATACTCTCACCTTCACAACACATGACATTTACGCAGCGTGTTTCACGTCAGGGGGACATCCCAAGACTCTGGACAGTCAGGGATTTGGACCCGAGCTGGGGATGGGATCAGGAGGAGGTGGAGGGCAGGGAGGGTCAGGGGGGGAGGGTGGCCAAAGGCGAGGTTGACGAGGAGGGTCTTGAGATGGGCCTTGAAGAAACAAGGGAGGGAGCGAGGGGAACTGTGAGATGGAATCCAAATGGTAGGGGCAAAGAGGCTGAAGGCCTGACCATCTCAACAGGCACAGACCGGAGCTCGGTTCAATGTCTCATTTGAAGGATGTAGGATGGTCCTCGCTGGACAAGCAGCGGGAAAGCTTGGCCAGACAGTGATATCGATGGCGAAGCTGTGTGGTTAGACTCCAGCAGTTACCCCAACACACACTCTGGGCCCCCCCCAAGCCTTGGCTCTCGCCAATCTGCGCCTAATACTCTCTGGGATTAGATAACTTATACAAATATATATATAAATGCAATTAGATTGCATTTATATATATATTTGTATAAGTTCTTAATCACGGTGATGGGTTTCCGTGTGTGTCAGACACCCGGCCGGTCACGGTGATGGGTTTCCGTGTGTGTCAGACACCCAACTGGTCACGGTGACGGGTTTCCGTGTGTGTCAGACACCAAACTGGTCACGGTGACGGGTTTCCGTGTGTGTCAGACACCCGGCTGGTCACGGTGACGGGTTTCCGTGTGTGACAGACACCCGGCTGGTCACGGTGATGGGTTTCCGTGTGGACAGATACCCGGCTGGTCACGGTGACGGGTTTCCGTGTGTGTCAGACACCCAACTGGTCACGGTGACGGGTTTCCGTGTGTGTCAGACACCAAACTGGTCACGGTGACGGGTTTCCGTGTGTGTCAGACACCCGGCCGGTCACGGTGACGGGTTTCCGTGTGTGTCAGACACCCGGCCGGTCACGGTGACGGGTTTCCGTGTGTGTCAGACACCCGGCCGGTCACGGTGACGGGTTTCCGTGTGTGTCAGACACCCGGCCGGTCGCCTTCGACAATGAGGCACTCCCCAGCACTGCGCTGGAGCGTCAACCTTGACTGTGAGCTCAAAGCCCCTGATGTAGGGGATTGAAACCACTTTGCTTCTGACTTTGAGGCGAGAGTGCAACCCATTAAGCCTGGCTGACAGCTCAATATCCCAGGCAGAGGATTAAGGTTGTGAATAGGAATCCTGAGCTTTAGTCTAAGGTTCATACACCATAGACACTCGAAGTGCCTACTTTCTGTCTCTCTCCCCCTCCCTTCACACGTAATCAGAATCCTTGCATTTTATACATCGTCTGATCACGTCGTTGAGATGTCTCTAAGTGCTTCACAGAATATACTGTAAAGTGAATTTTCTGTGTATTTTGTGGGCAAAACGTGCAGCCAGTTGCACACAGCAGCGTCCCACAGTTGTGGATTGAGTGACCACATTATTATTACCCCCAGAAAGTGAACCCCCAATCGACTAACAACCGGGTTCCTACTGATTGCTGTAAACAGAGGTGTGTGGAGTAAGGAAACCTGCCTAAGGTTTTGCCCTGACCGGGAATTGAACCCGGGTCCTCTCGCTTGTGAAGTGAGTGTCTAACCACTGAGCTACAGGACTCTTATACTGTAAAGTGAATTTACTGTGTTTTGTGGGTGTAACACCGGAGGATATCTCAAAGAATTTCACAAGCTTTTTACCATGATGTGTAGTGACTGTGTTTTGCAGGTGAACGCGACAGCTGATTTGGCCAAAGTGACTTCCCCACAATCAGCTAGAAGTGAACGGCTGATTTTATCCTGGGGAGAAATTTAGAATCTAATTGGGGAGACACTGTCTATACAAAATAACACTCAATGTTCATCAACCCAGTGTGTCAGCTCAGTGTGTGTGTGCGTGTGTCAGCCCGGCTCAGTGTGTGTGTGCGTGTGTCAGCCCGGCTCAGTGTGTGTGTGCGTGTGTCAGCCTGGCTCAGTGTGTGTGTGCGTGTGTCAGCCCGGCTCAGTGTGTGTGTGCGTGTGTCAGCCCGGCTCAGTGTGTGTGTGCGTGTGTCAGCCCGGCTCAGTGTGTGTGTGCGTGTGTCAGCCCGGCTCAGTGTGTGTGTGCGTGTGTCAGCCTGGCTCAGTGTGTGTGTGCGTGTGTCAGCCCGGCTCAGTGTGTGTGTGCGTGTGTCAGCCCGGCTCAGTGTGTGTGTGCGTGTGTCAGCCCGGCTCAGTGTGTGTGTGTGTATGTGTGTCTGTGTCAGCCCGGCTCAGTGGTCACACTCCCTCTCATCTCTTGAGTCAGTTGTGGCATCAAACCCCCAGGATGGGACTTGGAATCACATAGTCTAAGCTGAGGCTCCAATTCAGTGCTGGGGGCTGTTGCATCGCTTGAGGTGCTTTCAGATGAGACATCAAACTGAGGTCCTGGCTGCCTATTCAGGTGGATGTTAAAGATCATGACGTTATTCAAAAAAGAGAAGTAAGTTTCACTCCCCAGCCCACCCCCCCTCTCTCTCTCTCTCTCTCTCTCTCTCTCGGTATCCTGGCCAAAAAATCTGGTCACTCGCTCCATGGCTGCCCATTGTGTTCCTTAAAGACATTTTGTCAACCGCGAAATGGGTGGAGGGCTGTGGGGTGGGGGGGGCATCTGAACCAGATCCTTCTGGTCCTCAGTCCAAGATCCAAGACTTCCCAGGGTCTTAATCACCTCCAACAATGCCCCCCCCACTGCCTCCCGCCCCCCAGTGCTGCATTAGAAGCTCAGCTTGGACTGTGTGAGTTCAAGTCCTGACATGGGGATTTGAACCCACAACCTTCTGACTCAGAGGCGAGCGAGCGAGAGAGAGAGTGATACCCACTGAGCCAGGCTGACACACCCACTGCACGCACTGGCTGGCAAGCTTTCCCAGCAGGTCCATCCTCGTGACCAGCAAACATTACACACACACACAGGGCAATGACAAGGCAGCTACGATAGTGTTGGTCAATGAGGTGGACGGGTACAAGGTATAGAGTGAGCTTTGTTATTGCTAATTCAAGAGTGAAAATGGAACAGGGAAGGGGGGCGTGGGGAAGAAGAGAGGGGGTGGGCGGGAAGAGAGGAGGGGGGAGAGAAGAAGAGAGGAGGGGTGGAAAGGAGGAAAGAGGCTTTGTTGTCAGGAAAGAGGGGTGTGAATCCCTGGACACATAATCTGAACACCACAAGAGTCAGGGAGTAAATAAAAAGGTGGAGTAGGGGCAGGTAGGGAGGGTGGGGGAGCGAGATAGACAGAGGGGATGGTCGAGGGACCCTGAAACGAGGGGTATCATTGGGTGAATGGTGGTATGTTTGTTTTATTAAGGTTATGATAATAATAATCCTTGCATTTGATACAGAGCCTTATCACATCGTTGAGATGCCTTAAAGCGCTTCACAGGATACATTGTAAAGTGAATTGACTGTGTATTTGTGGGCGAAACACGGCAGCCAATTGCGCAGAGCAATGTCTGTCCCACAGTCGTGGATTGAGTGACCCACTTATAATTTTTTTTAAAAAAGGGATTATTTACCCCCAGAAAAGTGATCCCCCAATCGACTGTCAACTGGGTTCCTATTTACTGCCGGTAAACAGAGGCATGTGGAGTAAGAAAACTTTAGCCCTGCTCCGGAATCAAACCCAGGTCCTACAGGCTCCACATTAGGTTATAAAAAAAGGCATCGGTTGGTAACGGGCTGCAGAACGAGGTATAAGACAGAGAGAGAGGGTGAGAGGGAGAGCGAGACTCGGTTCATTTCATCTCAGCCTCACTGTGTACTGAGCTGCTGGAGCCCCATCAGCTTCCAAGCAGCGAAGCTCCTGCTGTCTCTTAACGAAGCCGAACTGTCTGTGGAAGGAGCCCTCGCGGGCGGTCGTGCCACAGCGGAGAGCACTGCCGCCCACCCAGATCCTGCCGATAGCGGGGAGCAGCTCCAGCGCTCCGCGGGGCAGCCCCGAGACTCCGGAACCCGACAGATTGAGCTCCCGCAGCGAGTCCAGGCCAGAGAACACAGCCGCGTCCAGGGCCCGGAGTCTGGGGCTGAGGGACAGGTCCAGCTGCTGCAGGTTGTGGAGACCATTGAAAGCTCCTCTGGAGAGTTCTGTCAGGTGTGTGAGGCCTGAGAGGGACAGATCTGTCAGCTCCTGCAGCCCAGAGAAGGCCTTGTCCCCGATGGTGGTGATGGGATTCCCGGCCAGACTGAGCCACCGGAGTGGGACGCGAGCCAGCCAGGCCGTCGGCACCCGATCAAGCCGGTTCCCCGATAGGTCGAGGGTGTAGATGTTGGGCGTGGCTCTGTCCAGGTTCCACCCAAGCCAGGAGATGTGATTGGCTGACAGGTTCACAGTGAGGGGTTTCCCGTGGCCCCTGGAGGAGGAGAAAGCGTCGAGGTTGACCTGACGGAGCCGGTTGTGACTGAGGTCCACCTCACCCAGTGGAAGGTTGGAGAAGATTCCGTTCTCTAAAGTCTCCAGGGAATTGTGACTGAGGTTGAGAGCCTCCAGGTACCTGAGCTTGGAGAAGGTGTCGGGGGAAAGCTGGGAGATGCCGTTGTGACTGAGGTCCAGGTTGGCTAAGGTGGTGTAACCAGGTCCTCTGAACATAGCCATGGATACGGAGGTCAGGGTGTTGGAGGACAGGTCCAGGTACGAGGTGTCCAGGGGGATGGGGATGGCTGTCATGTGAGGACCCAGCCCACTGCAGTCCACCTTAGTCAGGCTGAAGCTCCCGAACATCCCAAAGCTCTCGACCTGGCAATGGCAGCCCGGAGAGCAAGCTCGCAACACAGCCACACAACACAGCAGCCTGAGCCACACCAGCCAGTGGCCAGCGGGAGCCATGGGGTTACCTGCACACAGAAAGAGTGTGTGAGATACGTGCACTCACACACACTGCACTCACTCACTTGCAACAAGTTTCAACATGAAGACAATACAAATTCCCATTTACACAGCGCCCGCCACCCTGGGGGAGCTTCCTCGAGGTACTCGATTATCCTGAGCTGGCGATGGGGGGCGCAGGGAGGTGTTAGAATATACACTTTTTGTATACTGCTAGAATCATAATAGATGTTGTGAATGGGTTAACTTTTAAGTTAAGGGCAACTGGACTGACAGTCACGGGATAGGACTCATCTGGTTTTCTCTGTTTTTGAAAGAATAACGGACAGGGGCCGGGGGTCACCTCTTATCAGTAAATGACAACAAGCCACAGAGGTAACGGTCCAAGGTACCAGTCCACACAGGATCTCGACTGAGCAATAAGTCGCTAGATTCTGACAGGGCCGACCGACAGAAGGCAACCCTCAAGAATAGCAACTAATGAGCAAGTTGTTTAAACTGGAGGACCTCGGTACCATCCCGGGATACTGATAAGGAATAACCAGTCACTTAAAAGGAATGATCCCACACCACAAAATAATGAGCACCAGATACAGCCCTAAACTGATCAATCCTCTATCTTAGACAATTAGATCAGATAACAGGGGTCTTAAGGACTATGTGTATGTGTGTGAGGCACTACACCCCATGAGGTGCTCACGTACACCCGGTATGATTTCGACCGGGTGATCTAATGTCCGCACCATGATTGGATGAACATTGGTATTAAGAGTTCCGTTAACTTTGTGTACGGGGCCATCCCGGGTGGTGGAGACAAGGATACGGGAGATGGGGCCGTCCCGGGTGGTGGAGACAAGGATACGGGAGATGGGGCCGTCCCGGGTTGCGGAGACAAGGATACGGGAGATGGGGCCGTCCTGGGTCGTGGAGACAAGGATACGGGAGATGGGGCCATCCCGGGTCGTGGAGACAAGGGTACGGAGATGGGGCCATCCCGGGTCGTGGAGACAAGGATACGGGAGATGGGGCCGTCCCGGGTCGCAGAGACAAGGGTACGGAGATGGGGCCGTCCCGGGTCGTGGAGACAAGGGTACGGAGATGGAAGACTGAGAGCTGGAAACACTAAGACTGAGGATATCAGATGTAAGATTGAAAGCTGTCGGCAAGAAGACTGAAAGCCGAAGAATCAAACTTGTGGGCTGGAAAGGCACAGTGTTGAACTCTTGAACTCGAGATATCTATAGTGGTGTTATTCTGTTATAAGATCTGTTGATTGTACGGCCTTTGGTCTGACCCATCGGGATATTGGGGAATAACGAACAAATAATAATAAAACAGTCTGATATCTGATTAGAGGAATTAGCGTTATTTCCTTACAGATTTGGCTGATTTTATTTTCTTACAGAGGGGAAGATGACCAAAGACACAGTCAAAGGTCTTGAGACAGATCTCAAGAGAGGAAAGTTGAAACATAGAGACCAAGCAATAGGAGGAGGCCATTCAGATCCTCAAGCCTGTTCCACCATTCTATAAGATCATAGCTGATCTGTAGCTCAACTGCAATTACCCCCATATCCATTGCTACCTTGATCTCACAAATATCTCTCCACCCAAGGAAACTTGCCTAAGGTTTTGCCCGGATGGGAATCAAACCCAGGTCCACTTGCTTGGGAGGCGAGCGCTCTAACCATTAAGCTATAGGACTCCTTTATCCCCCCAATCCCGCCCACTCAGTTAAAGTCAAGTGCCCCCTACTCCCTCCACATCACCAGTGATGGTCGTGCCTTTACAAACCTCTGGAACTACCGACTTCTAAACCCCCCCCCACTCCGGCCTCACCGCCTCTTTATCTATCTTTAAACTCCACCTGAAGACCTAACGGTTGTTAACCTACACCAGGGAGGCCAAATACTGGCCCATAGGCCGCATCCAGCCCAGGGGACAATTTCACCGGCCCGCCAACCACTCCCAACGTCACTGTGTGACAAGCAAATAGGTGACTCGCAATCTCCAAACCAATTAGGGGCTCAGGTTCCACCCGGCAATGGGACTGGTCAATCAGGATAAAATATTGATGACCCATGGATCTTCTCAAATATGGCCACTGGCCCTCAGCACCCAGAGGGTTGGAGGTCCTGCCCTAAATGGCGGGCGCTGTGTAAATGCAACTTGTTATAATAACAAACAACAAATAGCATTTGTTTATACTAGTTATCGTGATCGCCCTTCATGTGGGGAGCGCGATAACTAGCACTATAATTAAACTTGTGCAGTCCTGTAGCTCAGTGGTTAGAGCCCTCGCCTCGCAAGAGAGAGGACTGGGTTTGATTCCTAGGCAGGTCAGGGCGAAACCTTAGGCAAGTTTCCTTACTCCACCCGCCTCTGGTTACCGACAGCCACTACCATCCCCACCTTGAAGAAACCTTCCCTTGACCCATCACAGTATCCAGCTACCGGCCCATCTCCCACCTCCCTTTTCTATCCAAGGTCCTTGAGAGACCGTTGTCTCCCAGCTTCGCTCTTTCCTCTCCTCTCACTTCCTCCATGAACCCCTCCAATCGGGTTTCCGTATTGCCCACAGCACAGAAACTGCTCTGGTCAAGGTCACAAACGACATCTTGACCATGTGTGACCAGGGCTCCCTCTACCTCCTCGTCCTCCTCAACCTCTCACCGCCTTTGACACCGTGGACCACTCAATCCTCCTCCACCGCCTCCTCCCACCTCAACCTTCAAGGTTCTGTCCTTTGACTGGTTCAGGTCCTACCTTTCACACCGCCTCCACTTCGTCTCTACAAACGGCTTCTCCTCCAGCCCCCGCACTGTCTTGTGCGGTGTTCCTCAGGGCTCTGTCCTCGGTCCCCTCCTCTTCACCCTCTATATGCTCCCCCTTGGTGACATCATCCGCAGACATGGGGTAAATTCCCACATGTATGCAGATGACACCCAACTCTACCTCTCTGCCTCCACCCTCAACTCCAGGACTAACCGACTGCCTGCCCCACATCAAGTCCTGGACGAGGGACAACTTTCTCCAACTGAACGTCAGCAAGACCGAGGCCCTCCTGATTGGACCTCGGGCGCAGGTGGCATCGGCCTCCACGGCTGCACACTCAACCTCACTAAGCCAGTCAGGAACCTGGGGATCTTGTTTGACCCTGAACTGTCCTTTCTCCCCCACATTCACGCCACGACCGGCACTGCCCATCACCACCTCCGCAACATTGCCAGACTCCGCCACTGCCTCACCCCTCAGGCCCCCAAACCCTCATCCACACATTCATCACCTCAAGGCTCGATTACAGGAACTCCCTACTCAGTGGCCTTTCCAACACTTCCCTTCACAAGCTGCAGATCATCCAAAACTCTGCAGCTCATGTACTCTCACTCACCAGGCTCCGTGACCATCACCCCCACCCTCGCCCGACCCATCACCCCCACCCTCGCCCGACCCCATCACTCCCACCCTTGCCCGACTCCACTGGCTCCCCATCCCCCAGAGGATCTAGTTCAAGATCCTCATCCTCACTTCCAAGGCCATCTATGGCCTTGCCCCTTCCTCCTACAACAACAACAACTTGGATTTATATAGCGCCCTCCACACCAGATGGCGTCTCAGAGCTTCACAATAATGTATCCCGGGGCCGAGCCAGGGGTACGGGGAGGGGCCAGGGGCAAGGGGGGGAAGGTGAGCAAAGGCACGGTCGAAAAGAAAGGTCTTCAGCAGAGACCTGAAAATAGGAAGAGAGGAAACAAGGCGAAGGGAGTGAGGAAGGGAGTTCCAGAGCCTTGGGGCATAGAGGCTGAAGGCACGGCTACCGAGGGTGGAGTGGAGGATTCGGGGGACGAGGAGGAGGCCAGACCCGGAGGAACGAAGGCAACTGTTGTAAAGAGAGAGGAGGTCAGGGAGGTCGGGGGGTGCAGAGGAGTGAAGACAAGAGTAAGGATCTTGAAATCGATCCTCTCTGGGACAGGCAACCAGTGCAGTCTGGCAAGGATTGGGGTGATCGGGGAGCGGAGTTTGGGGGTGGGGGAGGACGGGGGGGGCCAGGACTGGGGGGATCGGGGAGCGGAGTTTGATGCGGGTGAGAATGCGGGCGGCAGAGTTCTGGATGACCTGGATTGTATGAATGGTAGTGGAGGGGAGGTCGACGAGGAGGGAATTTGAATAGTGCAGTTGAGAGGTGATAAAGCATGAATCAGGGTTTCAGCGGCTTTTTGGGTGAGATATTGGTGAAGACGGGCGATTCGTTGGAGGTGGAAGAAAGCGGTGCTGGTGAGGGACCGGATGTGGGGGAAGAAGGATAATTGGGGGTTGAATCTGACGCCTCCTACCTCTCTGACCTGCTGACTCCCTACCAACCTGCCCGCTCC